TTAATCTATCAATAATTAGTTGGTCTATTGGGATGAGGCAGTAGATCCCTTAAAATAGGTCAGGGGTTCGAACTCTAACGTTTGCATATGAAACAAACTAGGTTGGAATGGTCGACTTTGTCTCTGTAGTACCCGATCTGGATTAGTAAGTAGATACCAATAATTAATTTAAAAGAAAAAAGAATTAATATCAACGTAAATAATTATATTTATATAAGAATTGTTAATTAATTTGATTTGATATCTTTTCTTTTTCTATTTTTACATAAAATTTGAAAAATTTTAGTTAAGTAAAATAATATTAAAGATAATATTATTGAAAGGAAAATTCGTGTAGCCTAAAAACAGTAAAATAAATATATAATATTATAATATATTAAAAAAGATAGTTTTTTTAACTTTTTTACAATTACTTATGATACGCTTATTATCTAAACGTGGTTTGCAAATTCTTTTAATGACATTATATTAAATAATAATTTTATTATCATTGCAAAAATAAATTATTCGTAAATTATGATCAAATTATATGTAACACCCTTAGTCGATACGACCCGAAAGTAGATCGACTAGAGCATTACACGAGACCACCAAAGTGGCTAGCCCAAAATTTTAAAACATGTTCATTTTCATTTTAAAACATACTATGTGGTACCAAAATGACATACCAAACAACTGTAAAATATTTTTATATACTTGAGCTCCGAGACACATAGTTTAAAACAAATAATTCAACTCGAAGTTTATAAATCGGATATATAAGTAAGGATCACATGAATACACATGTCTACTAAGCTACAGTACACTACTCTAGAAGAGATGTTGGAAGTCCTACTGTGATAGTGCCACTTGAACGGTTCAAGCTAAACCTGCAAACGAAAACATCTGAATGTCAAGCTTACAAAGCCCAACAATATAATTGTTAATCTAGAGCAATATATGAATCGCATAAACATAACCTTGCTAGAAGACATGGTAATAAGCAGTAGGTACATGCATAATCCTAATCAAGTGCTACATACTTAAAGTTCAACAGTTCTACCTCTTAGGTGTAAGTCTCATGCTTCCCTTAGTTTCTACTAAAGGCCCCGCCATGAGTAAACGTATACTAGGTCTTTAACCTCAATATCATACTACAGTGCATCATTATGAAGGTTAACACCTGAGTCACACAACATCAGCATCTCCCAACTACCTTAGGTAAGGCTCGGGTCACAGAGCATCGACACCTCACAAGCATCTTAGGCTAGGTTCGGGTCACATAGCATCGTCAGCTTACCATGCTAGTCTACTCCTCTAGAGTGCTCAGAGCGTGTATGGGTCACATAGCAACAGTACAATATCCAACTAGCATCTAAAGTTCCATCACACTAATTTGGATATATCTGGATATTTCTAAAACAATTGGAGATCGTCACTCACACACATAAGTAACTTGGGTGTTATCATCGTCTCCCGAGCGATAAGCAAATACATAAATCTTATAGAATCTTACCTCATAACGTTTTTATGATTATTACACAATTTATTCAATGTTTTCATTTGTAAGCTTTATTGAGAGGTTTTGGCAATCCTAGACCCCTTCATGTGTCCTTAACTAAAATGAGGCTTCTAGCCTATTTCAGTTCGAGGTATTGATACTAAGCCCTTTAGTATCTATATTGACCCTTGAGTATCGATACCCACCCTTGGTACAGGTATCAAATCTGACTACTAGAATTTAAGATTTAATTATGGTATAGATACCTTACCCTTGAAATCGATCCCTAACAAATAATATCGATACTCTTTGTATAGAGTACCGGTACTACACAGCTAAAAACCCTGATATTAGTCATTTATAATATTTTTATTGAGTCTTCACGAACAAGCATTCATTATAGAGCTAAACAACTCGTTTTATTATTTAACCAATATGCAACTTAGACTCTTAGTAGTATAGGTTATTACATTCACTTAGGCCCATAAGGGTAATTTGATAATTTCACATAGTACATCGTTTCTCTATCACATTCTACACTACCTTGAGTGTAAGTGTATCCTTCACAATGAATCATTCATTCACGAATGTTCGATATGCACTCCTTTAAAGGTATTTTTAAGGCTTCTTACTCCATAAGGGTATTTTGGTAATTATTCCATATAGGGGTATTTGAATCATTTCATAAATTAGGATCCTTTTCCAAGCTTATTCGTACCTTTTATAGCAATCTATAATCATTCAGATACAACGAGTGATGTTTTGAATCTTTTGGTTTTTAACATTATTGATACTTTACTAACCAGTATGGGTACTCATACAGTATTGATATTGGTATTGACAATATCGATACTCCAACAGTATTGATACGAGTATCGGTACTATAATAACAATATCGATACTATAACCCAAAAAACCCTAAATAAGGTTTGAGAATCACCCAAAAACCCTCTCAAACACGCTAGTTTGGTCCTAAATCAACAAATAAAGCTTAAAGAAGTCTTATATGGTCATCTAACACCATAAAAACACCATCTTTACAACAAGAACATCATCTAGGATGTGAATCAAACAAAAACCCCAAATATGCTCAAATACCCCAAATCCCAACAAAGCATCACATTTAGGAAATTTAGCACAACAATTGACTAGAAATGCATTGCCTTAGCTAGAGAATCCGAAATGAAGCTCCTTTCTTCAACCAAACTTGTTACCTCATCTTCCACTTGACCTTGAGCATTCAACCCCCACAACCCTTTCCTATAGCACATGGAGAGGAAGGAGGATAAGGAAATGAGAAGAAAGAAAATGAAGAATGATATAAAACCCTCATCTTTTCATAAATGAGAGAATCACACTTTTGGTCTTTTGCATTTTGCTTTATACTAAAAAAACCTATTGTTATAACCTTTTGGTCTGATTCCAACCCAAATAAACTCCCACTCGATCCAACGACTATAATTACAAACTCTGCGAGGTCTACATACCATTCGAGTAAACTCAAAATTACTAACTCAGAATTTGAGGTGTTACATTATATTTATTAATGATGATCAAATTTGTATTATAAAGTGAAAAAAAGAAAAGAAAAAAAAAAGAAAACTTCATATATTATTATATTGTATAAATTTACCCAATATTGTTGGTGAGGCGAAATCTTTAATGGCTTAACGAGAAATGTAATATTTAATTCCTAGCTTGCATGTACAAGGAATTTAATGGCTTAACTTTGATTGTTGGAAAGATTTCGCGATTTTTTTTTCTCGAAATAATAATATTGATAATAAAGTATGGAGTTGGAGCACATATGAATTTGGTTTAAATTTCATGCAATATTAAATAATATATAATTTAATGCATTCTTTAAGTGTCTATTTTCCTCTCTTTATAATGCTTAAATTCATAATTGCCGCAAGCTATATATTTTGTATTGAGTTGTTCCCTCAAAATGTTGTACCCCTAAGTTTGAATTATTACAAATAAGGGTTAATTACATATTTGGTCACTCAACTATTCTTGCAATTTTGTTCTAATCGTCCAACAATCCTTTCAAAATCATCACAAAACTTATATTTTTATTCTAATTTAATCACCCACCGTCCAAAATAAATTAATTAAAAAATAGAACTACTGCCACTAACATTTTTTGTTCTTGAAAATTTAAAATTGTCTATTTTCTTTACCCAAATAGGAAATTTCATTTTTAGTATTTTAAAACATCAATTTAAATATATCCAATCCTCAAAGTTCCTTATGAAAACACACCCCCTAAAGTTTGCTAATTTCATTTTCTTTATTACAGTTATTTAATACGAAAACGTGGAAATATTTAAGATGCTTCTTTGAGAGTTGCTATCATTTCTTTTAAGTTCCATGTGAATGATTTAAATTTTTGTTCACATAATCCCAGGCTTTACTAGCATGCTTTAACTGAACCCCTTTTGAAGTTATGGTCGAAATTATTTGTATCCACGTAGAATTGATTCTACCCACTAAATCGTGATTTAATTAAGCTTGAATAGAATATTAATGTATTGTATGATCCTTGTTTATACTCGATCCTAAATATGGGTAAAACTTTCTGTCGAATTCCAATTATGTAAAAGGGCATTACCATCCAAATCGAAATGAAATAATAACACAAACATGATATGGATGCATGTAAAAACCAAATCTATCGTGCAACTTATTCTCAAATGTCAACTCTTGCAAATCATGCATTGAAATTAAACTCCAAGAAAACCCTAAATTAAAGTCCAACAGAAAATGACTTGATCTTTGTTTTAGAAAGGATCTCAGTACAGATGCAGTAGTTCGAAATTTCTGCTTAAAGCCCCTACACATTATAGGTGAACTGACGCAATACATCGTGTTAACAATTCATCCGGGGCAAAGCAGCCGAGTCTCCGTTCATGCCAGTGCATGCAGAAGCAGAAGATTAATGAATGAATGCATGTATGTTTGAATGCAGAAGCTCAAGTTTCAGCTTAGAGCACAACATATAAGGCATTCTAAAGCAATATAAAAGAAGAGACTACATTTAGAGCAAAGAAGCTGAATCCAATTCTCCAATCAATGCATGAGAAACAAACATGTTGAGCCAATTTGCAAAATCATGTCACGTAGCATGTAAATTGTAAATACACCAAATAAATTAGAAATAATAATACGTTTACATCATTCTAAGGCAGTTCTCCTAAGAAAATTTCTTTTTCAAGGTATGGAACTACAAATTAAGCAAATTCTTCTCACCCCCATCTTCTAACTACAGATTGGACGGGAATTCACAGTTGTTTTCTAATAGCAGGAAGAAATAAGATACTCCCACACTCAGAAATAACATTTGTCATCGGCATGTATGCGGGCAATGGTGATTTTTAAGGTTATAATCAGTTGACAATACACAGAAAAATGACAAGTCAGCATTGTCATAGTAATTGAATAGGACTGGTAATCCAATATTGGCAAAAGCCAAGTTAACTACCTGTACTTCTAAAGTGGGTCCAAACTGAGCCATGTATCTCATCATAGGGTTTTTTTTCATTCTCAATCAGCTAAAGGTGGTAATAGTTCTAATACCATATAAAACATCAGAAAATTAGATTCCAAGTAGCTGAGTCAAATAACAGCAGCCACTTAGCAAGGAATATGGATTGTAAAATGGATGATTTAAACCAAGCATAGCTTCATCTATTCCTTTCAAAAGAGATGAAGTGGATACGAGGAAAAAGAAACATATAACTTACAACAAATGTAACTTCGAACTTACACTTACATGGATAAACAATGATTTTACAACTTCAATGCACAGAAATCAGAGCATATGTTTTAAGATGTAATAGCCTAGTCCTCCAAGATCTGTTTCCTCTCAAGCTCAAGAATATGTTCAGTCAAATGGCTTACAGTGTGATTTGTAGTCTTGTTATTTCCCCTGCACTGCAACAGTTGCAGTTCAAGACTCCGCACAAGTTCATTAAGCCTCTGAATCTTCTTCTCTTGTGATAGGATGATCTGCAATGAGTGATAAATTTCCACTAGAAGTCAATCAGAAGTTGAATTGCTGGTGGAAAATGTAGGAATTATAGAAATGAGTTGTCAATCCCTTAAGTTAAGAGATTCTGTAATTATTTTCTGTTTTTCAATCCCATATTTCAAGGGATTACATCTCCTAGGATTAGTTTCCTTTCTTAGAGTTTCCTAGTTTAGAGGCATAATTTGTATATAAATATGTAATATGTTCTACTGAATGTACACAAGAATAAAAATAACAGACTTGTCTGTTTTCTACAGTCTGTTTTCTACATGGTATTAGGTTAGAGCGATCAATCCGATTTCCTCTTCTCTTTAAATCAATTCCTATTCAACTTTTATTTTTTTCATGGCCATGGCTAATCCGGATCCCTCAGCATCCGAAATCACTTCCCAGACCAGCCCCTCTCAATCTGATTTTCAGATTTCAAATTTCAAATTTTCAAAGCAACAGAGGAAAAATCGCCTTTGGTGTGAACATTGTAAGAAGCCAGGCTATATGATAGATCAATGTTGGAAGCTGCACGGAAAAACAACCGATTGGCAGCCCACACAGTCCAGGTTTCAAAAGGAGCCTCATATTGCCTCTCAAGATGATTCCTCAAGCAGTTTTAGCAAGAAACAGATAGAGGATCTGTAGCAGATTTTGAGCAATATGACAGCCAAGCCTACAAATATGACTTATACTACTACTGATGGAAATAATCCATATGCTTCCTCGGTACAATGGATAATAGACTCGGGTGCATCAGATCATATGACAGGAAATATAGATCTCTTGGAGGAATATAGTGAAAGCAGCTTACCAGCTTCTATCAAAATAGCATATGGCTCTCTCACTACAGTCAAAGGGAGTGGTTCTGTTACATTAACAAAAATCTACTACTTCATAATGTCCTCTATGTTCCTAGACTTGCATGCAATCTGTTGTCAGTCAGCAAATTAATTAAAGATTTTGGTTGTAATGTTGTGTTAGGTACTGGTGGTTGCATTTTTCAGGCACATGGCTCGAAGAGGGTGATTTGCAGTGCTAGGCTGGGCAAAGGATTGTACAACCTTGGAGGTAAAGCATCTCATAATCATGCCTTATCCAGTGCTATTAAGAAACCAATTTTATCTTCTGATCTCAATACCAATAAAATTATATTATGGCACTCTAGATTAGGTCATCCTAATTTTTTCTATCTTTCCAAAATGTTACCGAACTTATTCATTAATAAAGATCCATCTTTGTTTTCCTGTGAAATTTGTCAAATGGCCAAACACACCAGAAAACCATATATTACAGCCAAATTTGAACCAACAACTTTTTCCAACATCCATAGTGACATTTGGGGCCCTTCTCCTGTCAAAAGTATTTCTGGGTATAAGTGGTTTGTGTCTTTTATAGATGATTACTCTAGGACAACATGGGTTTTCTTAATGAGAGAAAAATCTGAGATTGAGTCTCTCTTTAAAAGTTTTTATCAAAAAGTTGAAACCCAATTTGACACAAAAATCAAAATTCTAAGGAGTGACAATGGGAGTGAGTATTTGAATAAAACCCTTGGGTATTTCTTTAAGGAAAAAGGCATTGTTCACCTTACTTCTTGTGTCAACACACCTCAACAAAACGGGATAGCAGAAAGGAAAAATAGACATCTTCTAGAGGTTACTAGGTCTCTTATGTTTGCTGCTAATGCTCCTAAGTATCTTTGGGGGGAAGCTCTTCTTACAGCCACTTATCTCATCAATAGAATGCCATGTAAGACCTTAGATTTCAAAATTCCTACTAAGATTCTGTTTCAGTTGTATCCCCATTTTAAACATTTAAACTCAAGTCTTTCTCCTCGGGTGTTTGGGTGTACAACCTTTGTTCATATCCACAACAGAGGGAAATTAGATCCTAGGTCCATAAAGTGTGTGTTCTTGGGCTATTCTTCGAGTCAGAAGGGTTACAAGTGTTACTCACCTTCCACAAAAAAGACCTATGTCTCCTTTGATGTTACATTTTTTGAAAACCAACCTTATTTTTCAGGAACAGAAATTCAGGGGGAGAGTTACAAGGAATTTCAGCCTGTTCAAACCGATATTTCTTTACAGCCTATTAGTTACAAGGAATTTCAACTTGTTCAAACCGATATTTCTTTACAGCCTATCCTTTCCTTACTTATTACTGTCTCTCCAAAGCCGGCTAGCACTGTCCTAGTTCCTAGGGAGGGTGATGGGAATAACCTAAATAACTCTAATGAATTACCTTCCTCCTTATCTCAGCACTCTAGTCCGTGCAAAACACCTTCCATCACTACCAAAAATGCACCTAACAATGACCCTGAAACCATAACTCCCCAACCGAAACAACTCAGTGTTTACTCAAGAAGAAGGAAAGATGTTGCTGAAGAAATCAGTCAGCCTAGCATTTGCCAAGAACCAGATTCGGATCCTGTTGCAGATGAAACAAAAGGTAATGATGGTTACCAAGAGGCTACTACTGTTGATCTTGATAACTTTCCTATTGCTATTAGGAAGGGGGTAAGAAAATGCACTGCTCATCCCATAAATAAGTATGTTGCATATGGGAAATTACAGTCTAATTTCAGGGCCTTCACTGCCAGCATTAACACTGTGAAAATCCCAAGAAATGTGACAGAAGCATTTCAATCTCCTGAGTGGAAAAAGGCTGTGGAAGAAGAGATAAAAGCGTTGCAAAAGAATAAGATATGGAGTTTGACAGATTTGCCAAAAGGGAAGAGAGTTGTTGGATGCAGGTGGATATTCACAGTCAAATATCATTCGGATGGGAGTGTGGAAAGATACAAGGCAAGGCTGGTTGCTAAAGGTTTTTCTCAGTCCTATGGCATCGACTACCAGGAGACTTTTGCACCGGTTGCAAAATTGAATACCATCAAAATATTGTTATCAATAGTTGTTAACATGGACTGGAAATTGCATCAACTGGACATAAAGAATGCTTTTCTGAATGGGAACCTTGAAGAAGAGGTATACATGGAGGTCCCCCCCGGATTAGAAGGAAAGGTCACTAAGAAAACTATGTGCAAGCTCAATAAAACCTTATATGGCTTAAAACAGTCTCCCAGGGCTTGGTTTGATCGATTTGCTAAGGCTATGACACAGAATGGTTTCAAACAAAGCCAAGCGGATCACACATTAATCAGAAAAATTACACCGAGTGGTAAGATAACCCTCCTAATTGTCTATGTAGATGATATGATTATAACTGGCAGTGATATAGAAGAAATAGAAAAGCTAAAGATGAATCTTGCAAAGGAGTTTGAAACCAAGGATTTAGGGAGTATGAGGTATTTCCTGGGTATGGAAGTTGCAAGGTCTGAGGAAGGGCTGGTCATAAACCAGCGTAAGTATGTTTTGGATCTTCTTGCAGAAACTAGGATGCTCGACTGCAAACCAGTTGAAACTCCAATGGAGCCAGGCTTGAAATTTTGCAAGGAAAGGACTAGAAATCCAGTAAACAAGGAAACCTACCAAAGGTTAGTTGGGAAGTTAATCTACCTTTCACTGACCAGGCCTGATATTGCATACTCAGTGAGCATTGTTAGCCAACATATGAGTGATCCTCGAGAAGAACATTTGGAAGTTGTTAACAGAATTTTAAGGTTCTTGAAATTTACCCCAGGAGCTGGACTTATATTTAGAAAAAATCAAGACAGAACAGTGAAGGTTTATACGGATGCAAGCTAGGGAGGTGAATTAACTGATAGAAGGTCAGTTAGTGGCTACTGTACCTACGTTTGGGGTAATTTGGTGACTTGGAGAAGTAAGAAACAAGTTGTTGTCTCTCGAAGTAGTGCTGAGTCAGAGTTTAGAGCAATGGCTCTCGGAATATGTGAAGGAATGTGGATTAAAAGACTGCTCACAGAACTGGACTTAGATGACAAGAAGAATTTTGAGATTTTTAGTGACGGTCAATCAACTATGAGTATAACAAAAAACCCAGTGCAGCATGATAGAACGAAACACATTGAGATAGACAGACATTTTATTTACGAGAAGGTCAACAATGGAGTTGCAAAACTGCAGTACATTCCGACGAAGAAACAGCTGGCAGATATCTTCACCAAAGCCCTTCCACGAGTGACTTTTGATGAGATGTCATTCAAACTGGGTATATACAACATATATACACCAGTTTGAGGGGGAGTGTAGGAATTATAGAAATGAGTTGTCAATCCCTTAAGTTAAGAGATTCTGTAATTATTTTCTGTTTTTCAATCCCTTATTTCAAGGGATTACATCTCCTAGGATTAGTTTCCTTTCTTAGAGTTTCCTAGTTTAGAGGCATAATTTGTATATAAATATGTAATATGTTCTACTGAATGTACACAAGAATAAAAATAACAGACTTATCTGTTTTCTACAGTCTGTTTTCTACAGAAAATGTAGATCAAAGACAAGACACTCGTTATAATTGGCCACCAAAGGCAAATATTTCCAAGTATCTAGTTCATGCCTTTGGGCCTACAGGGTTTGAAATAGCATAACAGCTCCTTCTAAACAATGTGAATGTGTTGATTAGAACACCATGATCAGTGTCAAAAACAAAAAATAATACTAACCCAACAGGAGTGACAACAGAGAAAAACAAGAACTTTGTCATTGAAAAAAAAAACAAAAACAAGCTCACAAGGCATAAAATTATCCCAGATTGAAAAACATTCAGAGACTACTTATAATGTACACCGATACTATACCATGTTCTGAGCAAACATAAATCTTGAATATAAAGACAAAACTCAAACAAAAATATTGAAGAGGATAGCTTACAAAAAAGAAATTGCTAAATAAGGGTATAAAAACATTTTGTTTTACTTCTACAGTTTCCTTCCTACGCTGAATAAACCAGCATTAGTAAGCTGATTAGAAAGTGAAAAGATTACAGATAAAAAGGGGTTTTCCTTTTGCAATTCAGCATAAGATTACATAACTATACATATAATACGTCAAATAAAACATATGCATTTCAATGAATCTAATCTCATTATTCAAACTTTAACCGTCAAAAAAAGATAAACTTGAAATTTTATTAGTAAAAGGCGTGTCACCTTTTCTTTCACAGCTTCTTCCCTCCTGGAAATTTGTTGCTGCTTCTGGGATACACTCGGGGCCGTGTCAACATCGACAACAAGTGGTTGTCTCCACTCAAACTGTGATGTGATTATTAATACAATGAATAGGAAAACAAGTAACATTGGTCTCGACATTGTTCTCTAACACTCTTTTCAAACCTGTAACTTAAAAAAATTCAACATTCATTAAAACTAACCCTAAACTAAAATGCCGTCACCGCATGTGTTATGCGATTAATCAAATTGATCAAAGTAAAAAATAAAATTGAGTCAATATACATAAAGTAAATGCAGTAATTTCATAAAAACTAAGCACTAACAGTTAAATATCTCAAAGCTAACTTAAGGATCAAATTCAGCTAAAAGCCCGTAACTTTATTCGACCAAAATATTAGAAGAAATGAAGAAAATACCTAAATCGAAAAGGGAGGAGGAAAAGGTGGGGGGGAAACTTACAGATCAAAGTTGATTAGAAAACCCTAAATTCATGATCGATCAGAACACATTTGCGACTATTCTTGTGAGGGTTCTGAACCTTCTTCTCTGGGTTTGATTTGGATTGCTTTCGTTATACCCCGAAGAAAGCATTGATTTTTATATTTGCATTTAAAAAAACGAACGAAGTCAAATTTTGTGGATTGGGCTGTCGGACTTTACTTATTTCCTTCCTTTTATTTGGGTTTGTACCACATTTTAATTTTATTCATTAGAAAATCAATTTAAAATTTAATGGATTGAATATTTATAATTTTTATAAAATCTAAATTTACAAAATTTATTTTAAAATTTGAATAGCCTATTATCATCATTTAAGTACGAGTATGCTAAATTCGAATTTAATGGTAAAAGAAAATGTCATTCTCCTTAGAAATTTTGAATTCGAATAGTGATATTTGCAAAGTGTGTTGTTTAGGTCAATTATAAAAAAACTCTATACAAATACTATAAGGAAAGTCCATTGAATAATCTTTTGTGTACTATCTATGTTTCAAAAAATAATTACTAAATAGTATAATTAAACATTGGTGATTAAATAAAAATATTTTTTGTTAATAAAAAATAAAAAAAATATTATTAAAAAGATTTTTATATTGATTTAAATAATTAGTACTATACAACCTTAGTACTATGCAACCGTTGATAAACCCTGATGTAAACCATTGTAGGGGACATCATAGAAGACATAATAGTCGTTCGTCGGAGGTAATCACTCAGATTTCTAATTTATCGATCTTGAAAAGAACGAGTCCGCCTTTAGAGAACTCATAATACTCTAAGAAACTACATAACGGGGATGAAGAGATAGAGCAGTTGTTTGGCAAGGAAGCTACCACCATGGAAGTTGATGATGGCTTTAATAATTTTGAGGAGGTGTTGCATCAACAGGGGAACAATATGAAAGAACAAACATGAGTGAATTCAGCTAAATTTTCATATGCGCATATGATATCAAGAACTATTGAAACGAAACGGGTAATCAAGAATTTGTGTGAAACAGATGATGTGGAGGTTTTGGATGAAGATTGCATCATAGATGACACAGGACCAATCACAAAATGTATGTAACAAGTGATCATTATTAGGTTAGTAGATAGAACAATCGGTTACGGGACCCTATTGGGGCGAATCCATGCATTTATGGAAGCCTTTAAAAGATGTCCAGATGGTTGAGTTGGAAAACAATTATCACCTGGTGAATTTTTCCAATGGTACTGATTATGTTAAGGTTCTAACTGAATGGTCGTGAATGATTTATGGTAGTTATTTAACGGTGTAATCTTGGAGTAGATCATTTTCGACATCGAAGAACCATCATTCATAAATCCTTGTCTAGGTGAGATTGACGAGTCTTCAATACCGATATTATTCGAAGTCTCTATTTTGTAGGATTGCATGGTAGTAGGAAGGGTAGTGCGTGTGGACTATAATACACAGAACAGTGGTAGAGAGAAGTTCGCTCGTCTTGCAATAATCGTGGACTTAAACAAGTCGTTGAAGTCGTGCATTGGGATTGACTGCTTAATTCAAAAACTAGAATATAAAAGTGCTGGGAAATAAAATGAGTACGAGTAATTTCCCTATAACCAGATTAGTGAGAATGCGAAATAAAAGAGGAAAAATAATACCCGAAATTGATAACGGAGTTCAGCCAATTATGCCTACGTCTCCGGACTGCTGTAGATCTTTTACTGAAGAGAGAAAATTTACAGGTGTTTACAAAAAACTCACAACTCACAAGAAAGCTCTCTAGTATTGGGAGAAAGAAATGATTTGAGATAATTTTGAAGCTAAATGGGTTAGGGTATTTATAGTTGAAGCTTAAAGACTAATCTTGTAAATACCATAAAGTGTACAGGGACTAAAATGTAATTTCCCTAAATAGAAATTAAATACAACGAATTCGGTGCTCAATCCACCGAATTCGGCGCCCCCAATTCTTGATTTTAAAAGCCCCATCTTTGACTTTACAATCTCCCACTTTAAGACTGATTTTAATCTGTGTTCACACCTCGATCGATGCAGCAACATTTCTGGTCTTGTTAATCTAGCATGCCAACTGAAGCTGAACACAACTTCAGTTTGTCAGTAGTCACCGTGTCTTCCGGATTTTGAGCTCCACTAATCTTTTCAAGTTTTAAAATCCCATATTCCAGAAAAGACTAGATAAAATGATATCGTAATTGTATGTGCTTCGTTCTGGAATGAAAAGACGAATTCTTCGCTAGATGGATAACACTTTGACTGTCGCAATGCAAGACATTATTTTCTTGTTTCTTGCCTAACTCTTCCAAGAAACTTTGGAGCCAAACCATCTCCTTGCTGGCTTCCGTAACAGCGACATATTCTGCTTCAGTTATGGAGAGAGCAACTATTTTCTGTAGTTGAGATACCCAACTCACTGCATTACCTCCTAGAGTATAGACATATCATGTAGTGCTCCTTCTGATGTCAGCATTTCCGGCTAAGTCAACATCTACATAGCATGTCAGTATCGTATCTCCACCTTTGAAACAAAGTGCTTTGTTTGTAGTACCCTGCAGATATCTGAGGATCCATTTGACTATTTCCCAGTGTACCTTGTCTGGATTATTCATGTACCTGCTAACAGCTCCCACTGCATGAGCAATATCTGGTCTAGTACAAACCATGACATACATCAGACTTCCAATTCCTGAGGCATACGGCACCTTCACCATGTGTGCACGTTCTTCCTCCGTCTTTGGTGACTGTTCTTTGGAGAGTCTAAAATGAACACCCAAAGGTGTACTTACTGGTTTAGCATATTGCATGTTAAACCTGAAAAGTACTTTGTTGATGTACTCAGCCTGTGATAACATCAAAGTCCCCGAATTTGTGTCTCTCTTAATCCTCATCCCAAGAATTTGCTTTGCAGGGCCCATATCTTTCATTGCAAACTGCTTCGACAATTTTTGCTTCAAGTTTATAATCTCATGCATGTCTGAGCCTACAACGAGCATGTCATCAACGTACAACAATAAAATAATGAATCTGTTGTCGAACTTCTTGATGTAGCAACAATGATATGCTTGGCATATGGTAAAACCACTACTACTCATGAAACTATCGAACTTCTTGTACCACTGTCTAGGAGCTTGTTTTAAACCATACAAGCTCTTCTTCAACCTGCATACCAGGTTTTTCTTGTCTGCCTTTATGAAGCCTTCTGGCTACCCATATAGATTTCTTCCTCCAAATCACCATGAAGGAAAGCTGTTTTTACATCTAACTGTTCAAGATGTAGATTTTCTGCAGCTACAATTTTTAATATCAGTCTAATTGTAGACAGTTTCACGACTGGAGAGAAAATTTCGTTATAGTCAATACCTTTTTTTTTGTTGAAAACCTTTGACAACCAATCTTGCTTTGTAGTGTTTGCTCCCATCGTGCTCTTCTTTGATTCTGTAAATCCACTTATTATGGAGCGCTTTCTTGCCTGGTGGTAATTCAGCTAATTCCCACGTATGATTTGACATAAGCGAGTCCATCTCATCTTTCATGGAAGACTCCCACTTGACTGAATCCTCTACCTGCATTGCTTCATCATAGCACTCTGGTTCATCATTGTCAGTCAACAATAAGTAGTGCAAAGAAGACGAATAACGTTGGGTTAGTTTAGGAATTCTAGAGGAGCGTCTCAGTTCTGGTGTGCCTGGTTCTTCTTGAACTACTTCAGGATTGATCTGAACATCATTTCCAGAAATCTCCTCGAACTCAGCAAATTCCTTTGTTTCAGCTTCGGTATTGGAGCTACTTAATTCTATGGTTGACATGTCTTTGTACATCACATTCTCATTGAAAATGACATCTTTGCTTCTGATGATCTTTCAATTTTCGTAGTCCCAAAACCGGTAATCAAACTCATCACCACCATAACCAACAAAGACACATTTGTTAGACTTGGCGTCAAGTTTACTTCTTTCAGCAGAATTTATGTGTACGTAAGAAATACATCCAAACACTCTTAAGTGTGAAAGGTTTATTTCTTTCTTGCTCTAAAATTCCTCCGGTATTCCACCATCCAATAGAATTGAGGGCCCACGATTGATCAGGTAAGTTGCAGTGTTAATAGCTTTAGCCCATAGCAATTTTCGCAAGCCGACATGTATCCTCATGCTTTTGGCACGTTCATTCAGAGTTATGTTCATGCGTTCTACTCCGCCATTCTGCTACGGTGTCATGGGAACTGTTGTCTCCATCTTGATCTCATTATTTGGGCAGAAATCTCTGAATCTACTATTTCTATACTCTCCTCCATTATTAGACCTCAACCGCTTGACTTTCAAACCAGTCTCATTTTCCACCATGGCCTTCCATTTTCTGAAGTTATCAAAGACTTCTGATTTCTTCTTCAGAAAATAAACCCACACTTTCCTTGTAGAATCATCGATGAAGGTGACATAATATAGTGAGCCTGCAAGAGATAGAACTGGAGATGGTCCCCATACATCAGTATGAACCAACTCTAACTTTTCTGTCTTGGGTGTCTTGCCAATCTTTTCAAAATTTACTTTCTTTTGTTTGCCAAAGATACAATCCTCGCATAGTCTGACATCTACACTCTTTAGATACGACAACTTCCCTTTTGACAAAAGTGTCTTCATCCCTTTCTCGCTCATATGACCAAGTCTTTGGTGCCATAGGTTTGATTTTTCACCAGCATCTGCTACTACAATGATATTCTCTAAATTTGAGGTTTTATAGAGAGTACCAGTCTTCTTACCACGAGCAATGACAAGTGCTCATTTGGTAATCTTCCATTCACAGCCTGAAAAGGTTATACTATATCATTCTCCATCAAGCTGTCCTACAGAAATCAAATTTCTTTTGAGGCCAGGAATATCTCTCACTTCTTTCAGCTTCCAGGTAGTTTGGTTTGACAACTTTAATCGAATATCTCCTTTCCGACGATCTTCAAGGTTTCATCATCAGCTAGATGAACCTTCCCAAAATCACCACTGACATAGTTCTCCATGATTTCTTGGCATAGGGTGGAGTGGAAAGATGCCCCTGAATCCAAGATCCATAATTCAATCGAACTGTGGACG